TGAGACTGTAAAACAACTACAAGAATACCTAGAGGAAAAGCTCCATGACATTGATCTAAGCAATGGTTATTTAGCTATGACCCTAAAAGCACAGGTAATAAAAGCAAAAATAGGCGCGACGGCTCACACCTGTAATCCCAGCACTTTGGGAGGCCGAGGCAGGTGGAATGCCTGAGTTCAAGAGTTCAACACCAGCCTGGTCAACATGGTGAAATCCTGTCTCTAGCAAAAAAATACAAAAAATAGCTAGGCATGGTGGCACACGCCTATAATCCCAGCTACTAAGGAGGTTGAGGTAGGAGACTTGCTTGAACTTGGGAGACAGAGATTGCAGTGAGCTGAGATTGCACCACTGCACTCCAGCCTGGGTGACAGAGCAAGACTCCATCTCACAAAAATAAAAAGTATAAATATAAATAAATAAATAAATAAATAAATAAATAAATAAATGCAAAAATAGACAAATGGGATTTTAGACAAAATACAAAGCTTTTGGACAGAAAGGAAACAATGAACAAAGTGAAGAGATAACCCATAGAGTGACAGAAAATGTATGTAAATCATACATCTGATAAGGGAGTAACATCTACAATAAATAAGAAACTCAAACAACTCAATAGCCAGAAAATGAATAACCCAATTAGGAAATGGACAAAGTGGACCGGGTACACTCACTCTTGTAATCCCAGCACTTTGGGAGGCCAAGGTGGGCAGATCATCTGAGGTCAGGAGTTCAAGACCAGCCTGACCAACATGGAGAAACCCCATCTCTACTAAAAATACAAAATTAGCTGCGAGTGGTAGCACATGCCTGTAATTCCAGCTACTTGGGAAGGCTGAGATAGGAGAATCGCTTGAACCTGGGAGGCGGAGGTTGTGATGAGCCAAGATTGCGCCATTGCACTCCAGTCTGGGCAATAAGAGCAAAACTCCATCTCAAAATAAAATAACATAAAATAGGCAAAGTGGCCAGGCGCAGTGGCTCACGTCTGTAATCCCAGCAGTTTGGGAGGCCGAGACAGGCGGATCACTTGAGGTCAGGAATTCGGGACCAGCCTGACCAACAAGGTGACACCTCATCTCTATCGAAAAATACAAAATTAGCCGGGTGTGGTAGCTTGTGCCTGTAAAGGAAAAAGGAAAGGAAAAGAAAGGAAAGTAAAGGAAGGAAAGGGGCAAAGCATCGGAAGAGACATTTCTCAAAAGAAGACATTCAAATGGCCAACAGGTTCAAGAAAAAAACTGCTGAGCACCACTAATCATTAGGAAAAACAAATTAAACCACAATGAGATATCATCTTACATCTGTTAGATTAGATGTTATCAAAAAGACAAGAAATAAGTGTTGGTGAGGATGCAGAAAGAAGAAAACCCTTGTACAATGTTGGAGGGAATGTAAATTAGTACAACCACTGTATTGGTCTGTTCTCATGCTGCTAATAAAGACATACCCGAGACTAGGTAATTTATAAAGTAAAGAGGTTTAATGGACTCACAGTTCCACATGACTGGAGAGGCCTCACAATCATGGCAGAAGGTGAAAGAGGAGCAAAGGCACCTCTTACATGGCAGTAGGCAAGAGAGCATGAGCAGGGGAACTGCCCTTTATAAAACCATCTTATCTCATGAGACTTATTCACTACCATGAGAATGGCATAGGGTGGCCCACAATTCAATTACCTCCCACCAGGTCCCTCCCATAACACATGGGGATTATGAGAGCTGCAATTCAAGATGAGATTTGTGTGGGGACACAACAAAGCCAAATCAACCACTATGAGAAATAGTATGGGGTTTCCTTAAAAAACTAAAATTAGAACTAAACTACTATATCATCTAGCAATTCCACTTCTGGGTATATATCCAAAAGAGATCAATATGTCATATCAGTATGTCAAAAAAATACCTGCACTCCCATGTTCATTGCAGCACTTTTCACAATAGCCAAGATATGGAATCAACCCAAAGGGCCATCAATGGATGAATGGATAATGAAAATGTGGTGTATATACTTAACGGAATACTATTCAGCCTTAAAAGAGAAAAAAATCCTGCCATTTGGGACAACATAGACAAATCTGGAAGATATTATACTAAGTGAAATAAGCCAGGCATGAAAGAAAAATACTGCATGATCGTATTTATATATGGAATCATAAAAAGTCAAACTCATGGAATTAGAAAGGGCTGGGCGTGGTGGCTCACACCTGTAATCCCAGCACTTTGGGAGGCCAAGGCAGGAGGATTCCTTGAGCCCAGGAGTTCAAGATCAGCCTGGGCAACATAGTGAGACCTCATCGCTACCAAAAAAAAAAAAAAAAATGTTTTTTATTTGATTTGGTTTGATTGATTTTTTGAGACAGACTCACTTTGTTGCCCAGGCTGGAGTGCAGTGGCGCAACCTCAGCTCACTGCAACCTCCGCCTCTCAGGTTCAAGAGATTTCATGCCTCAGCCTCTGGAGTAGCTGGGATTACAGGCACGTATCACCATGCCCAGCTAATTTTATATTTTCAGTAGAGACAGGGTTTTACCATGTGGGCCGGGGTGGTCTTGAACTCCTGATCTCAGGTGATCCTCCTGCCTCGGCCTCCCAAAGTACTGGCATTACAGGCATGAGCCACTGCATCCGGCCAAAAAGAGGTTTTTAAAAAGAAGTAGAAAGGAGAATGATGGTTACCAGAGGCTTAGAGGGTGGGGTGGGGAATGAGGGAGAGAGAAGGGGAAGTTATTGGTCAAAGGGGTTCCAAGTTTCAGTCAGACAGGAGGAGTAAGTTTTGAGATCTACTGCACAGCACAGTGACTACAGCCAATAATATATTGCATACTTCAACATAACTAAAAGGGTAAATTTTAAATCTCTCACCATAAAAATTAGAAGTGAGGTGATAGATATGTTAACTGGCTTGATTTAATCATTCCACATGTGTACACAGATCAAAACAGCACACTGCACCTCAGAAATGTACACAATTATGATGTATCTATTTGAAACAATATTAATAAAATTTTCAAAGAAAAAAGAATATTTGATAGCATAGGAAATTCCAGTTACATACAATATAATCCCAATTGTTTAAAATATATCATTATAAAACTAAGAGCAGATGATCAGGAACACAGATTCTGCAGTCAGACAGACTTAGGTTTAGTCTCAGGTCTACACTGGTTGCTACTGGAGCTTAGATGAGCCTCTCAGCTCTTCAGTTTCATTACTTCCTCATCTGAAAAATATCATCTTCCTCATGAGTCATTATGGAGATTAATGAATGCATACATAACGTACCTATCACCATCCCTGGAACATTGCAAGCAGTAAATAAATATTATTATTATAATGATTGTATCCACATTATAAATTCTTCACCTACTGATGCTGTGGGTAATCAGTTCCCAAGAGATTTGAATATAATGACATTCTCTTCATACTAAAATGAACTGGCCATAACATACTCATGCAAAGATTCAGGTAAGAATAGTCTTACCTGCCTTTAAGAGGGCTACCAAAATTGCAAATGCATGTAACCCTTTTACTTAGCAATCCCACTTGCAAGAACATCTCTTACAGAAATGCCTTCACATACGTGAAATAACATTCACTATTCACTTTTGTGTAAGATTTTTTTTAAGACAAATGTACCTTAACATGGGATAGTGTGCTGCTATGCAAAAGTCTCCAAGATACATCATACAGCAAGAAAAGCAAGATGAGTACCAGTATAAGTGAGATGATACCTTCAGTGGAAAATAACTTTACACATTGTGTTTGCATAAGTAAACACTGGAGGAATAACAAAAATCAACACATGTGGTTACTTCAGGGAGCATGAACTGTTTGGGGGAACAGGAAGGGACTTAGACTCTTCGCTGTAAGTCTTTTTATGTTACCTGACTTTTTAAAACTTTCACTGATGTATAATATACACATAGAAAATTGTACATAAGTATAGCACTGAATTTTTTTTTTTGAAACAGATTCTCACTCTGTCACCCAGGCTGGAAGGCAATAGAACAATCTTGGCTCACTGCAACCTCTGCCTCCCGGGTTCAAGCAATTCTTGTGCCTCAGCCTCCCAAGTAGCTGGGATTACAGGCATGCATGCACCACTACACCCAGTTGATTTTTGTATTTTTAGTATAGATGGGGTTTCAACATGTTGGCCAGGCTGGTCTTGAACTCCTGACCTCAGATGATCCACCAGCCTTGGCCTCCCAAAGTGCTGGGATTACAGGAGCGAGCCACCACGCCCGGCCCACCACTGAATAAATTTTTAGAAACTGAACACAACTGCATGATCAGGCCTGTTAATGAAGCAGAACATTGCCAACCTCCCCAGAAGTCCCCTTCATGATTACTTCCAGCCTCTCCACTTCCCCAACAAAAACAATCATTTCTAATACGTATTCTTCTGTGTCTGACTTCTTTTGCCTAAATCGTTTGAAGAGTTCTCCATTTTGTAGTGAGTAAATTCACTTCTGGTGCCAGATATTACACTGTAATTTATTTGTAATTTATTTTCCAGTCTACGGTGATGGGCATTTGGGTTGTTTCTAATGTGGCACTATTACAAATACTAATCCTTTTTTTTTTTTTTTGAGATGAAGTCTTGCTGTGTTGCCCAGGCCGGAGTGCAATGGTGCAATCTCAGCTCACTACAACCTCTGCCTTCCAGGTTCAAGCATTTCTCCTGCCTCAGCCTCCTGAGTAGCTGGGATTAAGGCACGCACCACCACACCTGGCTAATTTTTATATTTTCACCATGTTGGTCAGGCTGGTCTCAAACTCCTGACCTGGTGATCCACCTGCCTTGGCCTCCCAAAGTGCTGGGATTACAGGTGTGGGCCACTGTTCCTGGCCACGAATACTAATTCTATCAATATTTTTGCTCTTATCTTTTAGTAAGCGTATTTTTCTTGGGTTTGAGTTAGTCTATGGTCCTAGCTCATTTGCGGGGCTCAAAGGCACTTTCCTGAGCAACCCTCCAGTAATAATCCTCCTACCTCTTTATCCTCCAAGGGAATGTAGTGCGGGAAGCTGGTCCCAAGCTGCTGAGGAATTAATAACCGGAACTTGTTGTATGCTTCAGAGACAACCTTGGCCACATTGGATTGGAATGGCTGTTTATCAATCAACATGCAGTAATCCTTGATGTCCCAGATCTAGACACAACGTGTGGGTTAGTGGCCTCACACCCCTTGACCCAGACCCCAGCTCACTCTGTGGGCTCCTCCCAGAACATTCCTCTTCATTTGGTGGGGGTGGGGGGTAGTTCTTACTTACATCTCTGAGATACCTCACCACTAGGGCCAGAAAGGGCCTTAGGGATCTTCTAGGCCAGACTCATGGATTAGCAGGCAGGAAGGGTGTGACCAGCTCAAGGACAGCATACCCCTGCCTCATGTCTTGCCACAAGGCACAAAATCAGCTCCTAAGACAGCTGATCCTAGATTAGCCACACGACTGGGGGATGAGGGAGTTGGAGAAGACAGTGATGGACCATGGAATTCTCTGGGGAAGGCTTTTTGAACCAAGTCCCTGTCACTGAGCTTAGCAGAGCAGGAGAGGAGGACTCCTAAGGTAACCCACCCGCCTCCCTGCATTGTTTTACAAATGGAACCAGTACCCAGAGGGAGTAGGAACTAGGCAAGGGCCATGTGCAGCGAAGAGGTGGTTGGACACTTGGCTGGCACCAGCTCCTCAATCTTCCTGCCAGTTCTTCCTCACCTTGATGTATCCTTTACAATCCCCCGTGATGAGGATCCAGTCATTTTTATCAGTGGCCATGGCACCCACAACAACATTTTCATTGTCTAGGTCCACAGGGAACTTCCCCAGCAGGCCTCCGCTCCCGTGGAGGGACCAGGCGTAGATGTAGCCGTCCATGCAGCTGCTCAGCAGGGCAGCCGTGTATGGCAGGCGAGGCCTGGTCTGCAGGAAGATTATCTGAGGAAGACAGGAGGGCCCAGCTCAGCAGGGCTGTGAGCAAGTGTCACATGGTGCTGAGGGACCCCAGCGAGTCACCACACCCACCTGGTCCCCCAATTTCCTAGATGCCCAGTGAAAGTGGTGATGGTGGTCCCACCCTTCCTACCCGGCTGGTGACAAGGAACATCATACTGGACTATGAACTACTAGAGGGCAGGGATTTTGTGTCTTTTTTGTTCACTACTTTGTCCTTAGTAACCACAATGGTGCCTGACACATAATACATGATCAATAAATGTTTATCAAATGAAGGCTTACAAGTTTGATTCGACATAGGCTCAGACAAGATTTTCACAACCTGTAACTCAATTCGAAGTGATTTGGGGAAGGAACTCATTCCCCTTCATGTACATCTATAGTGAAATACCCATATTTTCCAGCCAATCATCAAGAAAGCATTTTAAACAAATTCTTGTTCAAGACTTGTTTTGATCATATGCCTTTTGCTAATTCCCCACTCTGCTCACTTTTCCCTTACATGTCATTCCTGTGGCTCATGTGGGGGCCACAGTGGGAAGTTACTCTGCATGGCAACCATGAGAAGAAAGTTTCTTGCCTGGCACCCAGTAGGAGGCTGAGAGCATAGCCAGGGTGGTAGAGCGAATCAGGCCAGAAAGGGGAAATTGGAAGCTTCCTCACTCCTGCTAACTCAGAACTTTACAGTGTAATAGCCTATGTGTCCCCAAAGCATGTCACCACCAGCAACAAAAATCTCGATTATCAAAAATCTCATGGTGGCTCATGCCTGTAATCCTAGTACTTCAGGAGGCCGAGGCGGTTGAATCACTTGAGCCCAGGAGATCAAGACAGCCTGGGCAACATAGTGAGACCCTGTCTCTATTTAAAAAAAAAAAAAAAAAAAAAGAAGGGAAGGGGAGGGGAGGGGAGGGGAGGGAGAAAAAAAAAGAAAAGAAAAAAATCTCAATTATCCTTATTGTCATAGAAATCCGAAACTAGCTGTTCAAACTGCTTCCCACTAGCCCCGGTGCCAGGGTCAAAAACCAGAAGTCACTTGTACCCAAAGCTTGATGGCTTCACTGGTGAATTCTACTAAACATTTAAGGAAGAATGAATACCAATCCTTCTCAAACTTTTCCAGAATACTAAAGAGGAGATAACACTTCCTAACTCATTCTATGAGGCCAGCATTACCCTGATATCAAAGTCAGACAAAGACACTATAAGAAAAAAAAAAAAAACTACAGAGAAATATCCCTTATGAACACTATTTAAAAATTCTCAAAAAAAAATTTAGCAAACTGAATTCAGTAGCATATTAAAAGGATTATATACCATAATCAAGTGATATTTATTCCTGGAATGCAAGGATGATTCAACATACAAAACTCAATAAATATACCACTTCACAGAAAAAAGAAAAAACCCACACGATCATCTTAATTGATGCAGAAAACGATTTGACAAAATTAAAAAAATATATGAATAGAAGGAAATTACCTCAACATAATAAAAGCCATATATGAAAAACCCACAATGAACATCATACTCAGTAGTGAAAGACTGAAAGCTCTTCCTCTGGAATTAGGAACACGACAAGAATGTCCACTTTTGCTGCTTTTATTCAGCAGAGTACTGGAAGCTCTGCCAGAGCAATTAGGTAAAAAAAGAAATAAAAGGCACCCAAACTAGAAAGAAAGAAGTAAAATTGTAAGTTTGCAGATGATATTATATGTAGAAAACGCTAAAGCTCCCACACCAAAAAAAGGGGCTAATAAATGAATTCAGCAAAATGGCAGGATACAAAGTCAACACATAAAAATCAGTTGCATTGGCCGGGCGTGGTGGCTCACGCCCGTAATCTCAGCACTTTGGGAGGCTGAGGTGGGTGGATCACTTGAAGTCTGGAGTTCGAGACCAGCCTGGCCAACATGGTGAAAGCCCATCTCTACCAAAAAATACAAATATTAGCCAGGTGTGGTGGCAGGTGCCTGTAATCCCAGCTACTCGGGAGGCTGAGGCAGGAGAATCGCTTGAACCTGGGAGGCGGAGGTTGCAGTGAGCCGAGATCGTGCCATTGTACTCCAGCCTGGGCGACAGACCAAGACTATCTCAAAAAAAAAAAAAAAACAGTTGCATTTCTGTATACTAACAATGAACAATCTGAAAAGGAAATTACAAAAACAATTCCATTTACAATAGTGTCAAAAAAGAGTAAAATACTTGGAAATTAACCAAAAAGGACATTATGCTAAGTGACATAAGCCAGACAAACATATGATTCCACTTACATGAGGTAGTCAAATTTCCCCCATTTTATGCAAGTGCTCACTGTACAAAATGTGGGCAGCAAAGACATATGAAAGGAAATTGAAATCACCCACAAAATCCCAGTACCCAGAAATAATCACCATTAAGATTTTAATGTATTTTGGCCAGGCATGGTGGCTCTCGCCTCTAATCCCATCACTTTCGGAGGCCGAGGTGGGTGGATCACCTGAAGTCAGGAGTTCGAGACTAGCCTGGCCAACATGGTGAAACCCTGTCTCTGCTAAAAATACAAACATCAGCTGGGCATGGTGGCGGGTGCCTGTAATCCCAGCTACTCAGGAGGCCGAGGAAGGAGAATCGCTGGAACTTGGGAGGTGGAGGTTGCAGTGAACCAAGATCGCATCACTGCCCTCCAGCCTGGGCGACGGAGCGAGACTGTCTCCAAAAAAATTTAAATTACATAAATAAAAAAATATATCTTGGTGAATCCAAAGAAATACACTGCAGCCAGTGGCAGATTTACTGGTGAAGTTCATGAAGCTCAAGGCTAAGTTCAAGTTTAAGTTCAAGGTTCTAGGAAGAATAGAAAGTTCTGGTGACTTTTGTAATTGTCAGATTTGTAAGTTTTGAAATTTGTTTTCACTTTTTTCTCATTCTAAATAAATATTCACTTTTGTACCTAATTTTTTATAATTTTGTGCATTTTTCTTGCAAAAGTTTCAGGCTCCAAAAAACCTAGATAGGCCCCCATATAAAACTATTAAACAGAATGAAGTGGATAGATTATTACATGCTGAGAGGAAACGTTGTCCACCATGAATTGTGAGGTCTGAAAAAAAAAAAGCAAACAGCTAAACAATAGTTTCAAATGTTCTCAGTTTTGTTTGAAAAATCAAAACCATAAAAAAAAAATTAAAGGTGCACACAACTTTCATAGTAATCATTAACTGTCATTTTAATGGATATGTTTTACATTTTGTCATAAGCACATTCCAATAATTAAGTATTTTTCTAAAATGTGGTTCCTCATAACTGCACAGGATTCACCAAAGTGAAGCACCACAAAGGCCTCCCATGTCTGAACTGGGGAAACGCTGAGGCATCCTTCCCAGCCATTCCTTTGCCAGCCCTGGGACAGTGAGAGCAGGTAGGGTGAAGGTGAATGAGTGCCCAGGACTTTGGCAGGAATGGAAAGGGGCGGCCTGCCGAGAGCACAGGGTCAACTGCATGGCCAGCATCCAGCACTCACAGTGAGGAAAAGTGCAGTCAGAATGGTGGCCCTAGGCAGGACAGAGCCGTGTGGCTGCAAGGGACAGGTAACCAACACTATTCCTTTTGCATTCTGCATCCAGCTCCCTCCAATACATTGCGCTGCTCATTTTGGAAAGAGCTGCTGGACTAAAGGTGAGCATTTCAGTCTCACTCAGCCCAGGAATCCCAGATAGTTTCTCGACCACGGGGGGTTAACGGCCTCCCTGAGGTTCCCTTCAGAAGAAGCCATGGCAGCTACTCACGGGCTAAACTTCATATAACTTGGAGCAATTTTCTGCTGCCTGCCATCTGGTCCTTCCCTACTAGGGAGATGGCCAGGGGCAAGTGCTTCATCTAAAGACTGTCAGGGGCTGGTCGCCATCACTCACGCCTGTAATCCCAACACTTTGGGAGGCCGAGGCAGGAGGATCACTTCAGGCCAGGAGTTCGAGACCAGCCTGGACAACATGGCAAAACCCCGTCTCCACTACAAACACAAAATTAGCTAGGTGCGGTGGCTCACGCCTGTAATCCCAGCACTTTGGAAGGCTGAGGCAGGAGGATCACTTAAGGTCAGGAGTTCAAGACCAGCCTGGACAACATGGTGAAACCTGTCTCCATTAAAAACACAAAATTAGCCAGGTGTGGTGGCACACGCCCTGTAATGCCAGCTACTCAGGAGGTTGAGGCACGAGAATCACTTGAACCCAGGAGATTGAGGTGGCAGTGAGCTGAGATCGCACCACTGCACTCCAGCCTGGGCAACAGAGTGAGATTCCATCTCAAAAATAAATAAATAAGTAAAATTAAAAATAAAAACTGTCAGGGACACAGCTGGGCCTGGATCTGCATCCTGGACTCCTTCCTAGTGCTCTTTCTGCCATGCCTCACAGTCTTCCAGGATGGCCAGACAGAAAAAATGGGAAGGAAGACCCAACAGGTAAGATCCCCGCCCACTCCCCGTCAAGTGTCCTTACCCCAGCCCACCCAAGCCTCTCTTCCACTAAGGAAAGGCTGAGATCAGAGGTGACCCAAGCACTCTGGACCCTCTCCAGGGCACCACGCTAAAATGCTTCACTCTGCCCACAAGTGGCCCAGACAGAAGGGACCCTGCTGCTCAAGGAGTGGTGCGGGTGGAAGACTGTACACCTTGAAGCCAGGGGTGAGGGTCAGCGTCCAGAGGGGGCACACACACCACACACACACACACACAGCCCTGCCAGCCACAGCGCCTCAAATTTCACCAACGGACGTTCGATCCTTTGCATGTAATTATCTGGCCAAAAATTCAATCAAGATTCATGATACAAATCCTTATTACATGCAGATCACCAAGCCACATAAAAAAATCCAAGGAATTCCCAACAGTGGCAGCACAAAGAGTTAAAAGAACTTGAACTTCAAAAACAAATAGACCTAGAATCAGGCCCTGGCTCTGTCATTTTCTGGCCACAAGAATCTTGGGCAAGTCACTTCACCTCACTGGGCCTATTTCTTCAGCCATAAAATGGGAATAATAATAATAGTACATTCTTTTCAGATGTATTAAACATTCCTTTCACATTCATTCTTTTCAGATGTATTAAACAGACAAAAATCCCTCATAAATAAATAAATAATAATAGTACATACTTCCCAGGGCTGTTTGATGGACACAATAAAAACAACACATGTAGCTGGGCATGGTGGCTTATGACTGTAATCCCAGCACTTTGGGAGGCCAAGGCAGGAGGACTGCTTGAGCCCAGAAGGTCAAGACCAGCCTGGGCAACATAAGGAGACTCCATCTCTGTAAATAACTTTTTTTTAACCAGCCAGGCAGAGTAGCACACACCTGTAGTCCCAGCTATTAATACTCAAAAGGCTGAGATGGGAGAATCGCTTGAGCCTGGGAAGTGGAGGCCACAGTGAGCCGCGATTGTGCCACTGCACTCCAGCCTCGGCAAGAGAGCTGAGACTCTGTCTCGAAAAACAAAAATAACACATGTAAACCGTTAAGTTCATTGTCTGACAGATATTGAGAGCTCAATAAATACTAGTTATCACTGAAACATAATGCAACACAGCAAAAGCTTTCCAGGACTGTGTTTCTAATCCTAGGTCTTTATATCTGGAAATAGACAAGAGGTCCAAAATTTATGTACAAGGATGTTCATTGCAATGATTTCTATAGAGGCAAAACCCGGTCACCTAGCCATCCACCAGTGGCAGCGGATGGCTAGACAGACTCTGTGCAGTGTACCCAGAACATGATGTGACTAGTAAAAGGAATGCCATGGCTCTGTAAACCCCATCATGAAGAGATGCCCATGAGGAGTCAGGTGAAAAACAGCAAGTCCTGGAATAATATATGCAATATGATATTATTCAGTGAAGAATATCTATATTTACATATATACATTCATACATGTATGCACTTGTATATGCACAGAAAAATTCTAGAAGGCTACAACACATGTCTTAACGCAATTACCTCTGAAGGCTAAGAAGGGAGCAGCCATTCTTTTACTTTATACACTCGTATAAAGTTTGAATTTTTTTCGTAGGTGGTGGTGGTGGTGGTGGTGGTGGTGGTGGTGGTGGTGGTAGTGTTTTGGAGTCAAGTCTCACTGTGTCACCCAGGCTGGAGTGCAGTGGCACAATATCAGCTCACTGCAACCTCCGCCTCCTGGGTTCAATCAATTCTCCTGCCTCTGCCTCCTGACTAGCTGGGGCTACAGGAGCATGCCGCCACCCCTGGCTAATTTTTTGTATTTTAGTAGAGATGGAGCTTCACTGTGTTGCCCAGGCTGGTCTCGAACTCCTGAGCTCAGGCAATCCGCCCACCTCTGCCTTCCAAAGGGCTAGAATTGCAGGCGTGAGCCATCGCACCCGGTCAGGTTTGTTTGTTTAAGAGACAAGGTCTAGCTGTGTTGCCCAGGCTGGAGTGCAGTGGCACAATCACGGCTCACTGCAGTCTTGACCTCGCAGGTTCAAGTGATTCTCCCAACTCAGCCTCCCAAGGAGCTGGGAGCACTGTGCACACTATCAAACCTGGCTCATTTTTAAAATTTTTTGTAGAGATGAGTTCTCCTGTTGCCCAGGCTGGTCTAGAACTCCTGGGCTCAAGCAATCCTCCCACCTTGGCCTCCCAAAGGGCTGGGATTACAGGTGTGAGCCACTGCTCTCTGCCTGAATTTTTTTAGTTTTAATTAAGGACATGTATCACTTTCTAATTAGAGGGAAAAAGTATGAGAGACAGACAGACACAGAGAGAGAGAGAAGTGCTCATTCTCGAACATTCCATGCCAGCTCTCCCATAAGGGCCTTTGCACCTGCTACCTTCTCTGCCTGCATCACCCTCCTTCCAGATAACTGCAGGCCATATTTCCTCACTTCCTTCAGGCTCTTTGCAGATGCCGCCTCCTCTGTGAAGCCCTCCCTGACTAGCCTATTCATAAAACAGCAATGCCATCTCCTCCCATGTCCGTTCTCCCTGCCCTCTTCCCAGCTTTCTTGCCCTCCATTGTCCTCACTCACTCTGTGACATGCCCTTTATTCAATTTGCTGGTTAATTGTCTATCTCGCCCCAACTATAATGACAGCTCCAGCGGTCAGGGGCTTGATGTCTTTCATTCACTGCTCCTTCCCCAGTGCCTGGCATGTAGCGAATGCTAATGTCCAGACAGCACTAGGTCACCAGCCCGAAAGATCAAGCTTTGAGCCATCTATCTTGACTTCGCAGATTTAAAGGGATGGGACTGTTGGCAATTCTGCTTCCAAGAATCCATCCTCTCGATATACTCACACTAGTGCCCAGAAATGTACATGCAAGAATGTTCAGTGCAGTGCTGCTCCTAAAAGCTAAAAACTGGAACTAACCCACAGACCTATTCATAGAGGACCAGCTTCATAGTTCCTGATACATCCAAGTTATGCAGCAGCGGGCAGTTGTTAAAAAGAATAAGATGGCCGGGTGCAGTGGCTCAAGCCTGTAATCCCAGCACTTTGGGAAACGGAGGCGGGTGGATCACCTGAGGTCAGGAGTTCGAGACCAGCCTGGCCAACATGGTGAAACCCCATCTCTACTAAAAATACAAAAAGTAGCTGGGCGTGGTGGCACGTGCCTGTGGTCCCAGCTACTCCGGAGGCTGAGGCAGGAGAATCACTTGAACTCAGGACGCGGAGATGCAGTGAGCTGATATTGCACTCCAGCCTGGGTGACAGAGCAAAACTCCATCTAAAAAAAAGAGTAAGGTAACAAAAGAATAAGATGAATCTAAATCCCTCTCATGAAAGTATATCCATGCTATAGACTTATAGAAAAAAACAAATGGCAGGACGTAGCTATCATTTTATATTACTAGTCAAAAAAAAAAAAAAAGAACAAAGCTAAAGCCAAACTGCTAGCAGCGACTGCTGCTGTGGAGAGTGAGATGGGATAGGGTGAGTGAGACATAGGAGACTTTTATTTTTATTTTTTCATTTACACACACTTCTTTTTTTATTATAAACTAGTATTATTACTTTTAAAAGTTATTTAAAGTATTTTTTTTAAAGAGAAGGAAGAGGCGGGGTATAACTGTTCACATCTGTAATCCCAACACTTTGGGAGGCTGAGCCAGGAGGATCACTTGAGCCCAGGAGTTCAAGACCAGCATGGGCAGCATAGTGAGACCCCATCTCTACAAAAAAATACCAAAAAAAAATAGCTTGGCATAATGGTGCATGCCTATAGTCCCAGCTACTCACAAGGCTGAGGTGGCAGAATCACTTCAGCCCAGGAGGTTGAGGCTGTAATGAACTGTGATCACACCACTGCACTCCAGCCTGGGTGACAGTAAGACCCTGTCTCAAGAAAAAAAAAAAAAAAAAAGGAGGAGAGAGAAATAATCAGAACCTGGAGGAGAGTGTGTAGCCACTCCTGCTCTCCCTGCCAACACTGCAAAACCCAGTTCTCAGGGCACTGCCCCCTTGTTCTCAAGTCCTGGTCCCTGGAGCTAGATGGTGGGGCAGGCCTCCCACACCCTAGCTCAACTATGATTTGTGTCTTCAGGACGGGGAGTCAGTATCACAGTGAGGGGTGTCCAGGGTCAGAAAGGGGAAGGTACAGGAGGAAGAACAAAGATGAATCCATACCCAACTCTTGTTAGGTATAAAACACTCTCCCAGTTAACAGGAGGACATTCTAACTAGAGTCTGGAGATGTCACTTCTCCTACCTCTCTTCCTCCCTGCCCAGAGAGGACACTGCTACCCCCAGTCCAGAGGGAACACTGCTCACCTCCCTAGGCACCCCAACTCCACCTCCTGGGGAACTGATATGGTTTGGCTGTGTCTGCACTCAAATCTCAACTTGAACTGTGTCTCCCAGAATTCCCCCGTGCTGTGGGAGGGAACAAGAGGGAGGGAACTGAATCATGGGGGCTGGTCTTTCCCATGCCATTCTCATGAGAGTGAATAAGTCTCACGAGATCTGATGGGTTTATCAGGGGTTTCTGCTTTTGCGTCTTCTCGTTTTCTCTTGCTTCTGCCATGTAAGAAGCACCTTTCGCCTCCCGCCATGATTGTGAGGTCTCCCTAGCCATGTGGAACTGTAAGTCCAGTTAAACCTCTTTTTCTTCCCAGTCTTGGGTATGTCTTTATCAGCTGCATGAAAACAAACTAATACAGGAGCTCTCCCCAGACACTGCAGCCCTGACTCCAGTATCCCAAGCGGCTCCATCCTCTCCAAGACGTCTTCTGGGCACTGGGGAGAATCAGGCCAGGCCCGGAGCCCAGGCCCCCCAGCCCCATCTTAATGGCCCACTCCCCAGCTCATATCCCACTCCCTGGCTGATCACGGCCAACCTTCTCCACAGAGGCACTGGATTGAAACAATATATTCTTCTGCAATTCTGCTTTTCTTGTTTCATCCTCTTTGTAAATGGACTGTTTGCTGTGGATCTTGCCTGGCTGCATGGATGTGCCAGCAGCGCTGGAAGGTTTCTGGAAAGAAAGATGGGCACCCAAGTCACCATGAGGACGTTTCCCTTCCCCATGGGGGACCAGAGACCAGAGGAAGATGACAAAAGAGCGGCCCTCCCGAGCCCCCGCAGTAGGCACACTGCCCTGGAGAAAGCAGCACTCAGTGGATCCCGGGAAACCTCCACTTTAAGTTCCCAGCAGTTCTGCTAGAGCAAAATTGGGGCAGAGACTTGAGTTTGCCTTTGGGGAAGACCCTTCCTTTGTCCTGGAAGAGACCATCCTGGTTAAAAATGAGGATAAAGGTCGGGCATGGTGGTTCACACCTGTAATCCCACCACTTTGGGAGGCCGAGGCGGGCAGATAATTTCAGGCCACGAGTTTGAGACCAGCCTGGCCAACATGGTGAACCCTGTCTCCAATCAAAATACAAAAAATTTAGCCAGGCATGGTTGTGCACACCTGTAATCCCAGCTACTAGGGAGACTGAGGCAGGATAATCGCTTGAACCTGGGAGACAGAGGTTGCGCTAAGCAAAGATCACACCACTGCACTCCAGCCTGGGCGACAGGGTGAGACTCCATCTCAAAAATAAAAAATAAAAATAAAAATAAGGACAGAGGGGCAAATACACCTATACACCCATTTCCCTAGATTTGAAAGCAGTGGTCTAACCTCTGATAACTCAAAGATGGTATGAGTGTCTTATGGTCAAGTGTACACATCTTACAGCAAAATTATATCCCAGCAGACCATGTTGGATCTAGGTCTAGACTGCCTTATGCCTAGCAATTATTGTGTGTTTGGGTAAGGTGGTGTTTCTCACTCAAGCCTCAGCTCCGAGGAATGGAAATCAGACTTTGACTGCAAGAACAATCTCACTGGTTCCTCCTGCCCCATACAAGAGATTATTGCACTGATTGTTGGAATACTGTACTCACTGCTGAAAGTTCAAAGGCGAGCCATCGCCTGCAAGTAGGGAAAGAGTAACTCCTCCTTCTCTTTCTCCCTACTGGCCGCAAAACAGAACTGTCAGCCATTCTTGGAAGGGCTGGTCCTGGGGCAGAGATGAGGCTCAGAGGAGGAGGAAAGTGGTTTGTCTGTATCTGGGTCTCAGACTCTTGCAGCCTGGTCTCCGAGCAGGTGAGGCCCCCATGGCTCCCTCTGCACCTGGGCCAAGGTCAGGTGACTTGCGCTTGAGGACTGAGAATGCAGTCCAGGATCTAACTTCCAATTTTAGGTTTTCAGGGTTGTGTTCTCTTTGGGTTCTGCCTTTCAGCTTTCAGACTTTTAGGCCTGGTGTTAGCCATGCCCTGGAAAGGGACCTAGCCCCAGCTCCAGATTAGACACAGTGGGACTAAAACCAGAGGGTGCCCTGCCCAGGCCCACAATGTTCGAAACAAGTGAGTTTAGGGACCTAAAGGCACTCTGGAAAAAGTACATCCCAGTAAGAAAATACACACACAGTAGGTGTGTGAATGCCGGCAGCTGGAAAGTGAGGGTAGCCTTCTGGTTGGGCTCTTGCTCCCACCTTCCAGGACACAGGCCTGACTGGCTCCTTGTCTCTCCAGCGCCTCATCACTGGGGGAGCCGACACCAGGCTCCGCCTCAGGTTGGTATTGGCCACAGACTTGGGGCTGAGACTGGAGAGCTTCCTGGGGGTCTTGTATGCCCACTTCTCCCGCTCCACACAGGGTCTGATGGGCCCGTGGCTCTCAGGCAGGCAGTTGTTCACATCTTTCACCTGTACCAAGGAGAAAGCAGCCCCTAAGGCATTGCAATGTCCTAGAGGTAAATTCTGGGCTGCCCCAGATCAATGCCAACACCACAGGGCCCTCCAGACCCCCAGGGCTTGCTTCCCAGAAACCTAGCCCCCTTAAAAGCATCAGACTAGAGCTTCTAACCCCATTCCTGGCCAGCTGCAATGCCCTGAGTACCCACAGGCAAGACACTGCTCCCATGAGGAACTCAGTCTCCTCATCTGTAAAATGGACAGTAGTTTCCAAATATTTTTGAGGCTTTCTTTAATCTCAAGGGAAGCTCCTCCGAAGCATAAAATAGACAAAAAGCTGAGCTATTCTGGGGGAAACCCCAACAACCAGAGCCCCGCTGCAGTAGCTTCCAAGCATCTCTCTCCAACACATTTGGAAAACCACTGGATGAGGCGGCCCCTAAGGTCCCTTCCTGCTTTGATCTGCTGAGATATGGGAATTTGGAGACTGTATGGGTTTCCTAAGTCCCTATTGGGGAGCCCAGAGTGGTAATGTGTAGTAGCAATGGGAAAGGAGTGAGTAATCTACTAAAGATGGCAGGACCAGCACTGCCAGCCTCTGAAGTCAGACTGCCTGGGTTTGGATCTACTCCTTGGCTGTGTGACCTTAGACAAGGTGCTTAACCTCCCTGTGCCTCCACTTTCTCATCTGTCCAATGAGGATAATTACAGAAACTAACCACCTACGTAACCAAGCTCCCCACCCCCTCCAGAACAAGCTGCCATTATTCCTCCTGCTTCCCAGGGTGCTTCCCACCTTCCCTGCCCCACAGGATTCTGGTTCACAGCTGAGAGAAGGGTGGGAGGAGAGTGTGCTTCAGTTAACATACCCTCTTGGGCTGCAAGGGCAAGGGACTCCTAGAGGCATTGAAGTTGAAGATGGGCTTGAGTGTGCCGGTGTTCCAGAAGAGGATGTCCCCACTGTAGGAGGAGGTCCCGAGGAACTGGTTCTGGTACTTGGCCATGCTTAGGATGTCCTCCGTGTGGTAGGTCTGCCAGTGGTAGCATAAGAGCACCGGCTTGGTCTTGTGGAACCTGTGCACATGGCCAGAGGCAGGAGGGCTGAGAGCTCAGCCTTTAATGCTCCATCCACTGGGGAAGCACTGGAGCCTTGAGGATTCTGGGAGCCGACTCAGAGGAGGATACTCCTAGGTGTCAGGGCTAGGCTGAGGCCATGCCCCATTGACCTCATTTACTAAGCGCTTACTACGTGCCTTCTGCAAAGGCCCTGTCGTAGGGGCTTTACATAAACTAATCCTACGGATAATGAATGCGTAACACACCCCCAGTCAGACAACTAGGTAAGGATTTAAAGGAGGGGGAAACAGTGGCCTTACAGAGGTCCCTAAAAAGAAAGGGATCTTGAACATAGTGTTCCTTCTGCCTGGAATGCTCATCCTATCCTAAAGACTTCACAGAGACCCTTCCTTCTCACGCTTCAGATTGCACTCCAGCCACCACACCTTCACCGAGACTTTCCTGACCACCGCCCCCAAGAAGAAATCAGGTTTCCACGCATTCAACCCTCATAGAAACTCCTGCTTTTCCATGGCACTTAATATACTTTATAATTATAAATGAAAGTTTTTTTTGTTTTTTTTTTTTTTTTTTTTTTTTTTTTTGAGACGGAGTCTCGCTCTGCCGCCCAGGCTGGAGTGCAGTGGCCGGATCTCAGCTCACTGCAAGCTCCGCCTCCCGGGTTCACGCCATTCTCCTGCCTCAGCCTCCCGAGTAGTTGGGACTACAGGCGCCCGCCACCGCGCCCGGCTAGCTTTTTGTATTTTTTAGTAGAGACGGGGTTTCACCGTGTTAGCCAGGATGGTCTTGATCTCCTGACCTCGTGATCCGCCCGTCTCGGCCTCCCAAAGTGCTGGGTATTTGATTAGTACCTGCCTTCTTGATATACACTGAACATTCATATTCTCCAAAAATTTATGTTAAAACCTAATCCTCAATGTGAGAGTATTCACAGGTGTGGCTTTTGGAAGGTTATTAGGATAGAAGGGCAAAACCCTCACAAACAGAATCAGTGCCTTTATAAAAGAGGTCCTAGGCTAGGCATGGCGGCTCATGCCTATAATCCCAGCACTTTGAGGGGCCAAGGAAGGAGAATTGTTTGAGGCCAGGAGTTCAAGACCAGCCTGGGCAACAGAGCAAGACCACATCTCTACAAAAAAAAAATTTTTAATTAGCCAGGCATAGTGACACACACTTGTAGTCCTAGCTATTCAGGAGGCTGAGGCAGAAGGATCACTTGAGCCCAGGAGTTCAAGGCTGCAGTGAGCTGTAATTATGCCACCGCACTCCAGCCTGGGCAATAGAGCAAGATCCTGTCTCTTAAAAAAATAAAACAAAAATAAGAGGCTCAAAGAGATCCCTTGTCCTCTTTACCATGTAAGAAAATGGCCATCTATGAACCAGGAAGTGGCCCTCAGCAGTCACTGAATTTGCCAGTGCTTTGATCTAAGAATTTCCTTCAGAACTGTAAGAAATAATTTTCTGTTGTTATAAGCCACCTACTCTATGGTATTCTGTTATAACAGCCTGAGTGAACGAAGACAGAAATTGGTACCAGGGATGGGGTGCTATGGTAACAAATACCTAAAAATGTCAGAAGTGGTTTTAGAACCAGGTAATGTCAGCTAGGCAGGGTGGCTCACGCCTGTAATCCCAGCACTTTGGGAACTGAGACAGGTGGATCACTTGAGGCCAGGAGTTCAAGACCAGCTTGGCCAACATGACGAAACCCTGTCTCTACTAAAAATACAAAAAATTAGCCAGCTGTGGTGGCACACACTTATAATCCCAGCTACCTGGGAGGCTGAAGCACGAGAATCACTTGAACCTGGGAGGTGGAGGTTGTAGTGAGCCAAGACTGCACTACTGCACTCCAGCCTGGGCCATAAAGCAAGACTCTGTCTTTAAAAAAAAAAAAAAAAAAAAGTAGGTAATAGGTAGAGGATGGAAGGTCCATGCTAGAAAAAGCCTGCATTGCTACGCATAGACCATTAAGGGTGATTTCAGTGAGGGCCTAGAAAGAAAAGAGGACAGATGCAGAGAAAGCCTCAGTATTCTTAGAGAATACCTAAGTAATCCTGAACAGAATTTTGGTAGAAATACGGATGTTAAAGACCATTCTAGTGAAGTCTTGACAGAAATGAGAAACATGTTATTGGAAACTAGAGGAAAGGTCTTACTTGTTACAAAATGGCAAAGAACTTGGCTGAATCATATTTGTGTTCTAGTGTTTTGAGGCAGGTAGAACTTGCAAGATAAGAAATTGGATATTTCACTGAGGAAATTTCTATGTAACATAATGAAGGAGTTGCCTGGTTCCTCCTGACAACTCATAATAAAATGCAACGAGAGAAATGGTTTAAAAACCAAATTGTTAATCAAAAAGGAAGCAGAATCCAGGAGTACATGCCTGTAACCCAGTACTTTGGGAGGCCAAGACAGGAGGATTGCTTGAAGCCAGGAGTTTAAGACCAGCTTGTGTAACATAGCAAGACCCCATATCTAAAAAAAAAATTTTTTTAATTAGCCAGGCATGGTGGTATGTGCCTGTAGTCCTAGCTACCCTGGAGGCTGGGGTGGGAGGAGCTGAGGCTGCTGTGAGCTATAACCGCATGACTACACTCCAGCCTGGGTGACAGGGTGACACCCCGTGTCTTAAAAAAAAAAAAAAAAAGGAAGCAGAACTTAAAAGATTCATCCTATCCATATAGAAAGGAATGAGAAAGCCTGTTCAGAATAGAACATTGATATGGTTTGGCTCTGTGTCCCCACCCGAACCTCATCTTGAATTGTAATCCCTATATGTCGAGGGAGGGACCTGGTAGGAGGTGAATGGATCATGGGGGCAGTTTCCCTCATGCTGTTCTCGTGATAGTGAGTGAGTTCTCACAAGATCTGATGGTTTAAAAGTGGCAGTTTCCCTTGCAGTCTCTCCTGCCACCATGTAAGATGTGCCTTGCTTCCCCTTCACTATGATTGTAAGTCTCCTGAGGCCCCCTCCTAGCCATGCAGAACTGTGAGTCAATTAAACCTTTTTTCTTCATAAATTACCCAGTCTCAGGCATTCTTTATAGCAGTGTGAAAACAAACTAATACAATCATTAAAGACATAGCCAAGCACTGTTTGATGAGATTAGTATGGATCAGCCAACCCAACAGAAGCCAGTGCTGTTCTCCAAGACAATGAAAGAATGACCTGAAGGCAATTCAGAAATCGTTAGGACTGTCCCTCCCATCACCAGCCCAGAGTACAAGGGCCCTGGGGGCAGAATGGTTCCAAGGGAATGGCCACCAGTGCCCATGGGACCACAGTACACTTTACCATCATCGCCTAACTTCACAGGCTCCATTCTTCATGCTCCTTGACCACTCTAGGTGTGGCTCCTGTGGACCACGGTACAGCATGGGTTACACTCAGCAGAGCTGGGAGGACACGGCTGCCTCCACTACCTGGATTTCAAAGGACAGGGCCTCCCAGCAGAGCCACAGCCTTGGAATTGCAGCCCCACAGGGCCAGGGGGCTCATGCAAGGAAGTGCCACAGGGGCAGGGCCCAGGCATAGAGCCACCAGGGGGGCAAGGCTCCCCAAATCTGTAGGTGTAGGGCTGCCCAGAGTCTTAGGGTTCTGATCACCTGCCTGGCAAAGCTGCAGGGGCAGAACTGCCACCCCAGCAGTCCTGAAGGGCAGGGCAGCAAGCCGAAGAGGATTATCTTTGAGATTTAAGGTCTACTAGTATTTGCCCCGATGGATTTTTGACTTGCTCAGGACCTGTCCCTCCTTTCTCCTTTCCTATCTCTCCCTTGTATCTATCCTATGCCTGTCCCACCATTCTATTTTGGAAGTATGTAACATGTTAGTATCACAGGTTCACAGCTAGAGGGGAATTCGCTTCAGAATGAATTGTACCTTGAGACTCACCCATATTTTATTTAGGTGATATTTAGATGATATTTTGGACTTAGACGTTAAAGTTGATACTGGAACAAGTTAAGACTTTGGGGGTTACTGGGATGAAATGAATATATTTTGCATGAGAGAAGGACATGAATTTTGGGAAGTCAGGGATGGAATGCCATAGATTGAATTTTGGTCCCAAAATTCATATATTGAAGCCTAATCCCCAAGGCGAGCATATTTGGAGGTGGGGCCTTGGGAGGTGATGAGGTCATGAAAATGGAGCCCTCATGAATGGGATTAGTGCCCTTATAAAGGACGCCCCAGAGAGATTTCTTACCCCTTCCACCATGTAAGCTTACAGTAAGAAGACAGCTGTCTATGAATCAGGAAGTGGACCCTCACCAGGCAGCAAATCTGCTGGCGCCTTGTCTGGAACTTCCCCATCTCCAGAACTCTGATAAATAAATTTATGTTGTTTATAAGCAACTCAGTCTATGATATTCTGTTACAGCAGCCCGAATGGACTAAGACATTCCCCCACTGAACTAGATACTCCAAGAGGATAAAGACACCAACATTCTTGTTTATACCCATCCCAGGCACCTAGCAAAAGGCCAAGAATATATTAGCCTCAATGAATAATGAATGAATGGATGGATGAGCTGATGAAGCAACAGTCATTAACCACCACTAACTTCCTGCATGGTGTTCCAACCACCAGGAAAGCTCGCAATGGAGGAACCCATCTGAAGAGAGAACACGCAGCTACTGGGACCTACTCACCATGCATGCTTTCTACTCACAGAAAATGCGTGATTCTCTTACTCCACCCTGTCACATAGAACACTTTGTTCATATGGATAATCCCACTAATCTGTTGAAAATGAAAGAAAACAGAATTAGAATAACTTCTCAGAGAAAATGGCTCTGGGCCCTAAATGCCTTCCTAAAGGTGCCAAGCAAGAAGTCAAACCTCTCAATGATGATGAGAATCGCCTACAGTTGATACCACCATGTATTTTTCATCATGCGCTCACATCCTATTCCCTCATTTGATGGACTTAGGGTAGGCAGATAGGATAGGCATCCATGTCCATTTTTCAGAGAGAATAGCTGGGAAATGGGCAAGTGACCTGGCTAAGGTCAAGTCATTACTGAGTGATAGGATCTGGAGCAGTACTCAACCCCTGGCATCTTGACTAAGTACACTTTCTTTTCTTTTCTTTTCTTTTCTTTTAAGATAGAGTTTCACTCTTGCAAACCAGGCTGGAGTGCAGTGGCCGGATCTCAGCTCACTGCAAGCTCCGCCTCCCAAGTTTACACCATTCTCCTGCCTCAGCCTCCCAAGTAGCTGGGACTACAGGCGCCCGCCACCTCGCCCGGCTAGTTTTTTATATTTTTTTTTAGTAGAGATAGGGTTTCACCGTGTTAGCCAGGGTGGATTTCACCATGTTAGCCAGGGTGGTCTCGATCCCCAGACCTTGTGATCTGCCCGTCTTGGCCTCCCAAAGTGCTGGGATTACAGGCTTGAGCCACCGCGCCCGGCCTTTTTTTTTAATTCTAAAGAAACTTTTTTAAGGTACTGAAGAGCCTAAGCCCTAAGGCAGTGAGAGATGGTGGTGGCAGGAGCCAGGATGGGAGAGAAGCCCAGAATGGGGGGCTCCAAGCTTGTACACCCAATGCAGCGCCCCTGTCCAGAGCCTGGGCCAGACAAGAGGCCCCAGTGGGTGGGAGTGAGCAGAGGGCCTCAGGCAGCAGCCCCTCCTGTCCTCACACCTCAGAAGCAACTCCTCACGCCCAGCTGCCCTGTCCAACCCAGAGACTCCACGCAGGACCAAGGTGCTGCCTGCGCCTGGGCCTCCCTCCCTTCCTACAATGAACAAAGCCAAGTTATGGCTTCCCTGGAAAGAGATGCCCAAGAACAGCACCCACTCTGGGAACCTAGGAAAGCGCTTCACAACTAGCCCTCCGTCTCACACTCCATGGAAAGAAGGCCCGGTCCAGAGCCGACCCAAGGCGCTCAGCCAAGGGCATGAGGCTCAGAGGAGTTAGGCGAGCCCATGGCTAATGGATGGAGCTCCGAGCTGATCCCATGCCAGCCCATGTGCAGAGCTGCTTTCTGTGTCTATCCCACCGCCCCAGCACCACCATCAAGGCTGTAAGAGTTCCCAGTGTGCCATGGGAGCTGACTACAGACCCAGGCACACAGGGAGGTCTGGTCCTCTCCTGTGTCACCTGGTGTTCCTACCAGCCTCAGAGGCGAGCCCTGGGCCACTCACCTGCTTAAAGATCTTGCTGTAGAGGACAGCACACAGGGGTGAGCAATGAGTGGTCCTCTTCCTTGCTTTGATAGGCCCCTGGGCCTCTAAGTACCCTTTTAGGATCCCAATCTGTAGGTGAGGAAAGGGCAGAGAGCTCGTCTGTCAGAAGGGCCCTGCTCACAATGATGGGCCGCCGGGAAAAACTTCCAATAAATCACAACATCAAGACATCCTGACCACACGCAGGCCTGATTCCAGCAGACTCCAGGTTCCTCAGCAGGCCTGCAGATACCCCCACCCTACTCCGTGGCTCCCGCTCCCCGGGACTGAGCCTCCCAAACCCTAGTGTTCCTAGAACCCCAAATTCCAAGTCCAAGTTCCCTTTCACCTTATAACTTCTGAGAAGCTGAAGCCTCGATCAGATGTTCCCTCCGAGAAGCCCTCCCTGCCTCCCCGTTGCTAAGGATTCCTCTGTGTTCCAGAAAGCACTTAGCACACAACTCTACCATAACACACAGCACTTTCTACTGAAATTATCTGTTTTTCTTCTACCCTGTGGGTTCCTAGAGAGATGGGACAGTATCTTTGTCATATATTCTCAGTTCACGACAAAAGGCAGGGGGTTGATAAGGTTTGGTGATCTGAAATGAACTTCAAAGGCCTATTTAATTCAACAAATGCTGACCACCTGTCTGGCACTCAGCAAGGAGATAAAGGAACCCATGACCTTTCTTCTCAAGAAAACTGCCGTCTACGTGAGAGCTAGCCAAGTGCATAAGGATGACAAATGTGTCACCAGCCAGGGTGGTTCAGCCCACAGAGCATGGGAGGCCTTCGTGGAGCTCAAGCTCCGTGGCCCCCACGTCTCCTCTCTGGACTTCTGCTCCCATTTATGGGCTGTGGCTCAGCCTTGCAGCTCCCCAAGCCTCCATCTTATTGTGGGCGCCCTTACCCCCATCCTCCACAGGAAGCCCCTCGTGCTTGTCCCAATCTTTCCTGTCCTCCAGGGTCAGTACAGACCTCGCAGGGGTTCCAGCTGAGTCCTGAGTCACAGATGGCCTGCCTCTCTGTGACTCAGTTTCCCCCAGGGTCTCTCCTGCAGAGACGCTGCTCAGATGCGGCCCCTGTTTCCCAGAGTTCATGACTTAGCAGGAAAAACAGTCACGTAATAGTGACAGGACAGAGTTATGAGGCTCGTGACTGAGAGAAGGAACGGGGCCAAGAAAACATGGAAGAAGGGCTCCTAACAAGCCTGAGGTTCAGGGTGGCTCCCAGAGGAAGAAGCTGAGTGGGGACAGAGCAGACAGCAGCAGCAGCTGCAGAGACAGTGACAGGCTGGAGGCCTAGAAACAGGATTTCAGGAAATCCCAAGACACGGCCCCTCACAGGCCAGGCCACAGAGTCCAGCCACTTCAGCAGTCCCAGGAGGGACAGGACGCGGCCACCCCTTGGGTGTCCCATGGGATTCAGACCCTGGCCCTCTACCTGCGGCCTCGACCCCACTCCCTCCTGGGACAGCACTCACTGAGTAGGTGCTGCAGATGAGCGTATTGTCCTTCTCGAAGAAGTAGGCACTGGTGATGGGGCAGTTTCCCAGGGCAAAAAACTTCCCGCAGAAGGACTGGAGGCATATGTAGTCCAGCATGTCCCACACGCGAATATTCTGGGGGATGGGAAATAGGCAAGAGGCTGAGCATGGGTCCTCGGGGATGTAGCTGGCTCCTGAAGCCTTGGGGGTGCCTCCGGCGGACGAGCCCAGGGCACATCGTCCGTCCAAGCACTTCCAACACACACACGGTGTTGGCACCATCACACCCAGCAGCAGAGAGGCTACTCTTGTGCTCAGATAACCCAAGCACACAGTGAGTGAGGGCCGGGCACAGCTCCACCCCCCAGCCTGCCCCCAGGCCTCCACCCTGCTGGAGCAGCTGAATTCACTGGCTGGGCACAAAAGCCAAGCCAGGCAGCACATGCTGGCCCCAGGCCCTCCCTTGCTGCCACTCCAGCCTGGGACACAGTCCGACAGTGGCTACCAACATAGTTGCCACAGTGACCTGCCTGTCCCCAGAGGAGCCCCTCCCATTCCTCCCAGGTGAAGGAACCTTCCCTAGAGGGCCCCACGGAAGTCCTTCCAAGACCCTCACTTCTTGGAGGCATCCTCTGCCCGTGGCTGACTGGGGACCTCAGGGAGCCCGTCCCTGTCCCCATGCCCCCAGACTCAGACCCTTCATCAGAGGCGATGATCCCAGCTCCCAGGGCTTCTGGGAAAATTCCAGACAGGAGGGTGTGTGGATATGTTGGAGAGGGTGGTCTGGGTGACCCTGAGGGCCCTGACAATTCATCTCCAGAGTCCCAGAAAACATAACCTGTCCCCTAAAGGAGGGCCCCAAGCACTGCAGGACCACAGCCCAGCAGACTGGGCAGTATCCTGAGCCTACAGCTGCAGAGGAGCACAGTGGCAGGTCCCGAGTGGGAGCCCTGGCATGTGGGAAAGGCCAAGCCCGGCCCTGATGACCAGGCAGCTGAGGAGGGGTCACTAGAGCAGCTGAGAGGTGAAGATCGAGGGCAGGGCAGCACAGGCGAACGGCTGCCATGCATTGCACAACCCCCTGCGCCGGATGCTGCACTGCTGTTTTGCTGCTGGTTCTCTAAACTACTCAACAGCCCATTCTATGGATGGGGAGACTGATGCTCAGAAAAGGGAAGGAATTGCCAGGGTCACAAAGTAAGAAGCCAGGCTGGGCTACCTGGGAACCCAGCTCTGGGGACATGCTCAGAGGCTCATGGCCACCCTTGTCTTCCTTCCACCTGAGGCCCCCTCCTAGGCCTTTGGCTAGATGTGGGGCCGTGGGCAGGGAGGTCATGCCATTCCTCTGGCTAATGTGTTTCCCTGAGGAACAGAAGGAGTCGGGCGGACTGTCGGGGCAGACCTTGTCCTTGGAGACACTGATGAGGATGCTGCTGTTTCTGCTGTCCACGAGGATGTGTGTCACTGAGGTCTGGTGTCCCTTCATCAGCCACACGGGCCTCTTTGAGACAAAGGGGTTCCACAGGCGGATGAAGGCATCGTAGCCACCAGTCACTGGGGTCAAGACGTGGGTATCAATCCCAGGGGCCTCCACTGGGGACCTTCACCCACTGGTGAAGGTGGTGCCCAGAAGTGGGGACAAGAGCAGCAGGACGAGAAGCTGCGCAGCCCTCTCCTGAGCTCTGGTGGTCCCCCCATCCCCAGCAGCCCTCCCTCCAGCAGCTTCTGGGTGACATGAAGATGACTTACCCAGGAAGTTCCTCTCTGGGCAGTAATCAAAGCAAAGAATCCCTTTCCTTACATGCAGCACTGACAACCTACAATATCAAAGGAGTGAGGGCTGCAGGGCCGGGAGCAGTGGCCCTAAGAGAGCCTCTGAGACTGAGCCTGGGGTGGGAGGAGCTGGAGGCAGAGCCTCCCAGGAGGTCTAGGGAGGAGTCACTACCTCTCCATTCCAGGAGAGAAGCAGCCCCAGAGACCACCCAGCATTCCCTCTGCCGCCAAGTCAGGGCTCAGCACCACAGGAAAAGCAGCAGCCTGGTCCCGACCCCAAACCAATAGCCCACAGGGCAGATGCCACTTTCCAGGTATAGACAGCTCCCAGGCAGGAGCTACTCCTGACATTTGTGAAGCATCTGGCATCATGCCAAGGGCAAGTTTGATTTTCACATCAACTGTACTGGGACAGGCATCTTCCCATCCATGATACAAATCAAGAAAAAAGCCGGGGAGGGCCACACTTGCCTTCCCCTAGCCTTCTCCCTGAAGCAGGCCATAGAACACTGATTCCACTGGTGCCCACTCTATACCTATACCTGGGGGAAAGGAATGTCCCTTTTTTTTTTTTTTTTTTTTTGAGACAGAGTCTCATTCTGTCGCCCAGGCTGGAGTGCAGTGGTGCAATCTCGGCTCACTGCAACCTCCGCCTCCCAAGTTCAAGTGATTCTCCTGCCTCAGCCTCCCGAGTGGCTGGGATTACAGGTATCTGCCAGCATGCCTGGCTAATTTTTGTATTTTTAGTAGAGACGGGCTTTCACCATGTTGGCCAGGCGGGTCTGGAACTCCTGATCTCAGGTGAGCCACCCACCATGGCCTCCCAAAGTGCTGGGATTACAGGCACGAGCCACTGAACCCAGCCAGAATGTCCTTATTTCTGAAGACACAGGGACACAGAGAGGGATCTGGACAAAGAGTTTACTGCCATCAGATGGTACTAGTCCAATCATCCTGCATGACTGTCCATTCTTCACCAAACTTCGCATAAAAATACACAGGCGTCCCTGTCTCTTTGTTTTTTTTCCCGGAAGGCTCCCATGTCACATGAAACTTAAATGTGCATGCTTTTCTCTTGTTCATCTGCCTTTTGTTATCAGGGTCTCAGCCATAAACCTTGCAATGGGTGAAGAAAAAATATTACTCCACCCACACAGGGGTCAGGATTCAGACCTAGGGTGGACACGGCAGGAGGTGACAGGAAGTTCAGTAAGCAGTGATCCAGGAGAGGAGAGGCTCATCAGGGCCAGGTGAGGCTCAGAGGACCAGAGAGGCCCAGACAGGAGTTCCAGGAAGCCCAGGGCCCCGCAGCCCTCACAGGCCTGAGAGCCCCAGATGCTCTGTGCCTACGCCCATGCCCATGCCTCTCATCCACAACATCCTGCCCCGCCCCCTCCTTCTACTACACTCTTCAAAACCCCATTCTGGCCGGGCACAGTGGCTCACACCTATAATCCCAGCACTTTGGGAGGCCAAGGCGGCCGGATCACCTGAGGTCAGAAGTTCCAGACCAGCCTGGCCAACATGGTAAAACCTCATCTCTACTAAAAATACAAAAATTAGCCAGGCATGCTGGTATATGCCTGTAATCCCAGCTACTCGGGAGGCTGAGGCAGGAGAATCGCTTGGACCTGGGAGGTGGAGATTGCAGTGAGCCAAGATTGCACCACTGTACTCCAGCCTGGGCGACAGAGAAAGACTCAGTACCCCCTGCCCCCACCCCGCAAAAAAAAACAAAAACAAAACAAAAAACAAAACAAAACAAAACTCTATTCAGGTGTGGTGGCTCACACCTGTAATTCCAGCACTTTAGGAGGCCGAGGGAGGAGGACTGCTTGAGCCCAGGAGTTCAAGACCAGCCTGAGCAACATAGTAAGCGCACGCCTCTACAAAAAATAAATTAGCTGGGCTTGGTGGTATGCACCTGTAGTCCCAAATACTTGCAAGGCTGAGGTGGGAGGATTGCTAGAACCCAGGAGGTTGAGGCTGCAGTAAACTGTGATCATGCCACTGCACTCCAGCCTGGGGGACAGGGCAAGAACCTGTCCACGAAAAACACAAAAAGACTCCATTCAGGCCAGACACGGTGGCTCATGCCTGTAATCCCAGCACTTTGGCAGGCCGAGGCAGGAGGATCCCTTGAGGTCAGGAGTTCAAGACCAGCCTGGGGAACACAGCCAGATCCCATCTATACAAAAAAATTAAAAATTAGCTAGGCATGATGGTACACCTGCAGTCCCAGCTACTTATGAAGGTGAGGCAGGAGGATCTCTTGAGCCTGGGAGTTTGAGGTTACAGTGAGCTCCAGCCTGGGTGACAAAATAAGACCCTGCCACAGGAAAAAAAAAAAACCCAAAAACTCCATTCAAAGGCATCTGTAATAGGGCCCCCGGCCCCCTGACACAGCATGCCCTCCACTGAACTGACCCCTCACCCGGCTCCTCCACCACACCCGGGGGACCTAAGCCAGGTGCCTGGGCGTCAACCTGGACATCATGGCTCCCATTATCCAGGCTGGCCCCAAGTCCTCCTTACCCATTTCCCTCCGCTCCCATGATCGCTGCTAGCCCAGGCCCCTGACTTTGCCGTATCAGCCTCCCAGCCAGTTCCTTCATCTCCAGCCTTGCTCCCCTTTAAATCATCTCTCCAGAGCCACAAGGATTCCTCTAAAAATCAAAGCTTCAAAGAGAACAGACGGCAGTACACACATTTCATTTATTGCCAAACAAGATATTCCTCCCTCCACAAGTAAATGTGCTGCCGAAAAATGTTCTGGAAGAATGGTCACCAGAATGTTAGTAGAAATTATTTCACGCCGATTCACATATTCATCAACAAAGATTTCCTGGCTCCTACTCCCGCCAGGATTACCAGGGGCACAGACATGAGGCTTCTGCCACAGGGGGGTTTCCTTCTAGAGGGAAACAGCAGGAGTAAGTGGACACACCAAAGGGAGACGGACATTTACAAATCATGGCAAGTCCTGCAAGGGACATAAGCACATGGCTTTGACGGAGGACAACAGAAGGAGGCTCACTTCTGCCGGCCTCTCTGAGTAGGGTCCAGGGCTGCAGAGACCTGAAGGGTGAGAAGGAGTCGGCCCCGGGGAGCCCAGGGGAGGGGTGAGGCTTCAGTTGGAGGGAGCAGCCTGTGCAAGGCTGGTGTGGTGGGCACCAGGTGGGCCAGGAGGAGAGGGCATGAGAGGACATGGGAGAGGCGGGCAGGGCCGGATCCACAGCCCTGGCCAGGAGCCGCTGAAGGCTCCATACAGGGCCCTGGCTGGATCAGATCTGTCGATGGCTATGGGTCAGGGAACGTGGCCTGAGGGGATGCAGCGAGGCTGCTAAGAGGGCCACGGCAAGCAGTTCAGGTGGGATATGACGGTGGCTTCAACTAGGTGGTGGTGGCAGAAGTGAAGGAAGACGGGACAGTGGGGGAGACTTCGGGGGTCAGTCCACACACTCAGCACCAGCTCCTGCCACCACACCCGCTCCATCAGATTTGCTCCTGGCTCGAACCATCTGAGAACTCAGGTGAGGCTGGTTGCAGGGAAGCCAGACCCTCAGGCCCACGCTGCCTTGGAGGCTGAGGCTGACTCCATAGGCAGAGGTTGGGGTGCCAATGCCAGGCCCCACCCGCAGAGGCTATGCCCTAAGATGGCATTGCCAAAACGGGAGACCAGCAAGTGGTCAATGGTGCCACCTGCCGGCCTGTACATTGCACTGCATGCAGCCAAGAATGCATGGGTGTGCCACCACTCTCAGCTAATTTTTCAATTTTTTGTATAGATGGGATCTTGCTGTGTTGCCCAGGCCGGTCTTGAACTCCTGGCCTCAAGGGATCCTCCTGCCTTGGCCTCCTTAAGTGCTAGGATTACAGGCGTGAGCCACCGTGTCTGGCCCAAATGGAGTCTTTTGTCTTTTCTGAAGACAGGGTCTTAAGAGCGCTATCACCCAGGCTGAAGGAAGGGAGCATGTGTCTCTGTGTTTGTGTAAATATATTCTCTACCCTACCCCAAAAATACATCCCCAATCTCTTCATCCTATAACACAGCCCAGCTCCAGACCACCATCCTATACAGCCTCAACTATTGCAGTGGCCTCTTCACTGGCGTCCCCACTGCCACCTCTGCCCATGGACACTCTACCTGCAACATATAAGTCAGACCACACTAGTTCTCTGCCCAAAACCATCCCAGAACCGTGCTTATATCTACTTCTGAATATTGTAAGAAGATACTCTGAGGTACTTAGGGAAATATTAATGTGGACTAACTACTAAGTGATATGAAAGAATTAATACTATTTTATCTATTTTTGTGTGTGTTTGAAACTTTTTATAATGAAAATATTAATTTAAAATTAATTAATTTAAAAAACAAGGCTGGGCGCAGTGGCTCACGCCTGTAATCCCAGCACTTTGGGAGGCCAAGGCGGGTGAATCACAAGATCAAGAGATCAAGACCACCCCAAATGGCGAAACCCCGTCTCTACTAAATATACAAATATTAGCCGGGCATGATGGCACATGCTTGTAATCCCAGCTACTCAGGAGGCTGAGGCAGGAGAATCTCTTGAACCCGGGAGGTGGAGATTGCAGTGAGCTGAGATCACACCACCGCACTGCAGCCTGGGTGTCGCAGCAAGACTCTGTCTCAATCTGTCAATCAATTACAAGAGCATACCACAGACAGCAGAGCTGTGCAAAGGCCCTGGGGCAGGAGCATGCCTGAGCCTGAAGGAGGCCAGTGGAGCTGAGTGGGCAGGTGGAGGCAGTGAGGTCAGGAAGGCAGCAGGCCCAGCCTACGGAAGCCCTCCTGGCCCTGGTGAGGTGACCCCCTGATATCCTCTTGCCACTGGGACTCAATAAAACAAGATCTGAATGAAACACATATCCACCAAGCTTGTCCAGCTCACGGCCCACGGGCCTCATGCAACCCAGGACAGCTCTGAATGTGGCCCAACACAAATTCATACACTTTCTTATAACATTATGAGTTTTTTTGTGATTTTTATTTAGCTCATCAGCTATTGTTAGTGTTAGTGTATTTTATGTGTGACTCAAGACAATTCTTCTTCCAGTGTGACCCAGGGAAGCCAAAAGATTGGACACCCCTGCTATACACTAAGTGATATCACCACCAGTGCAGACAGATAGCCTCAGCAAACAACTCCAAGCAAACTCCAACCACAAGGCCCCATTCAAAGCACTGAACCCAAGACTGAAACTTCCCCTTCACATCAGACATTCCCGGAGGCCCCCTTTTCCGGCCTGCAGGGAGGTCCAGGACTTGTCTAGAAATGCACGCAGTGCACTATTTGGTTAAAAAGGCCAGGCGCGGTGGCTCACGCCTGTAATCCTAGCACTTTGGGAAGCCGAGGTGGGCGAATCACAAAGTCAAGAGATTGAGATCATCCTGGCCAACATGGTGAAACCCCGTATCTACCAAAAATACAAAAATTAGCTGGGCATGGGGGCACACGCCTGTAGTCCCAGTTACTAAGGAGGCTGAGGCAGGAGAATCGCTTGAACCCAGGAGGCGGAGGTTACAGTGAGCTGAGATTGTGCCACTGCACTCCAGCCTGGTGACAGAGCAAGACTCCGTCTCAAAAACAAAAGAAAAAAAGGCACTGGACATATAATGAGGCCCAAGATAAAACTCCAGCTCAAGTGTCTGCTCTAAGACAGTCACTTCCCCTCCCTAAGCTTCGGGTTTCCCATCTGTAAAATGAGGAGTTGGACTAAATTAGCTTTATCATCTCAGGATTGAAATTTCCCCTGAAAAACAACCAGGACAGAAAGGGACAGACAGGGGTCTAAATGGCCTTCGGTCTCTGCCCCAACCCAACCCTGGCCTCACCCAGTCTTTCCCCAATACAGGCCTCAAATCTCCTGCTGTTCCCCAAAAAAGACTCTCCTGGGGCTCATTCTTCAGACTGTGCAGGAGCAAAATGTCACAGCCCCAAAGGCTCAAGGAAAAATCTAGGGGCCAGAGGAAAACTATAGGGGCAAGAGCAACCCAGCAGGAAGACTCCACCAGAGAACATACCTGCCAGTTGATCTACCGTAAACTGCACAGTAGAAGCCACACAGTAAAAGAACAGAAGTAGGCCGGGCGCGGTGGCTCACGCCTGTAATCCCAGCACTTTGGGAGGCCGAGGTGGGCCTATCACCTGAGGTCAGGAGTTCGAGACCAGCCTGACCAACATAGAGAAACCCTGTCTCAGGCCAGGTGCGGTGGCTCAAGCCTGTAATCCCAGCACTTTGGGAGGCCGAGACGGGTGGATCACGAGGTCAGGAGATCGAGACCATCCTGCCTAACACGGTGAAACCCCATCTCTACTAAAAAAATACAAAAAAGTAGCCGGGCGAGGTGGCGGGCGCCTGTAGTCCCAGCTACTTGGGAGGCTGAGGCAGGAGAATGGCGTGAACCCGGGAGGCGGAGCTTGCAGTGAGCTGAGGTCCAGCCACTGCACTCCAGCCTGGGCGACAGAGCGGACTCCGTCTCAAAAAAACAAAAAAAAAGAGAAACCCTGTCTCTACTAAAAATGCAAAATTAGCCAGGCATGGTGGTGCATGCCTGTAATCCCAGCTACTTGGGAGGCTGAGGCAGGAGAATCGCTTGAACCCGGGAGGCGGAGGTTGTGGCAAGCCGAGATCGCACCATTGCACTCTAGCCTGGGCAACAAGAGCGAAACTCCATCACAAACAAACAAACAAACAAACAAAACAAAACAGAAGTGGTAGCTTCTGATAACTGTGTCAAGGAATGGGGATTGAATAAAGAGGGGGCCCCTCAGGACTCTAGCCTTCTTTATAATGTTTTCATTTTTTACATGGACAATGCATTTAATACATTCTTGTGTGATTAACTGGTTTTTCTTTTGTTTTTTTTTTTGAGACGGAGTCTTGCTCTGTCGCCCAAGCTGGAGTGCAGTGGCGTAATCTCGGCTCACTGCAAGCTCCGCCTCCTGGGTTCACGCCATTCTCCTGCCTCAGCCTCCAGAGTCGCTGGGACTACAGGTGCCCACCACCACGCCCAGCTAATTTTTTTTTTTTTTTTTTTTGTATTTTTAGTAGAGATGGGGTTTCACCATGTTAGCCAGGATGGTCTCGATCTCCTGACCTTGTGATCCGCCCGCCTCAGCCTCCCAAAGTGCTGGGATTACAGGCGTGAGCCATCACACCTGGTGATTAACTGGTTTGTCAAAAGAAAAGAAAAAACCGCACTCTGGGGTAGAGGAATCTAGACTGAAGGAAACAGATTGGAACCATCTGCAAAGAACCAACGCTGCCAGTTACTGAACACATACCACAGAGGATTCCCTCACACAACCCTTGAAGAAGTGAGGTACACGCTTTCATACCCTTTCACAGATGAGGGAACTGAGGGTCACAGAGGAGGAAGTAACTCACAGTCATCCCTTCATTCAGAAAACATTTCACTGACTGCCACTCACTCTGTGCTGGCTTCTATGTTGAGCTTTGCATATAGATCGAGAGATAAAAGAGACTACTGTGTTCTCACTGTGCTGCTGGTGGCGATGCTGGAAAAACTAACCTCCAGAGTCCGTACACCAACCACCATCTGCCACTGTCAGCCCCCACAGTCCACTCACCACCGCCCTTCCTTCCAACCCCACTGCCTTAGCCAGGAGAGAAGCACTTCTTACTTGGGTTTTTCAGAGGCTTTGGCTGGCAATACTGTCAGCACCAGAGAGGACTTCTCGACGGCTGAACAGGAGACCACCAGGTTCATCTGGGGGATGAACTTGACCTGCTGACACCAGTTGGGATGGAGAGCCTGGGAAGACAGTAGCAATGGTGAGAGACTCCACCCAAGGACAACTTTCCAGGCCCAGCCCCCAGAACATGACCAGGTGTTGGGACTGGAGGCGCCCAGATATCACAGAGTCTAATGCCCTTCTCCTCGCGATCACAAAGTGATGTGGCCCCGCAGTCCTGGCCCAGTTCCTAGGACCAGCACTGGCCATCACTTGTCACTGAAAATGTTTAAGAGCACACAAGCGTAGTTTCATTTGAAATCCTGTCAGTTAGAGGATGGGGAGGGTCAGGCCCATACTAATCATCTCCTGCGAGGGGAGAAAAGATGAATTCGAGTCTGTCCAGGCCACAGTCGAGTTATCCACATGGAGCCACCTCTACAGATGGGCTGTGCTCCTGGCCCACTGCCACCCTCCATGTTTGTCATACAGTGGACTGCTCACGGAAGCACAGAGGGCAGGAGAATGTTCATTTCGCTGCAACTTGAGCCACAAAAGATGACACGCAGTCGAAGGGGCTGGCTGGGCTCTGAATTCTCTGGCCCCAGCTCTGTGACTTGGACCAGCGCTTGGCCTCCCAATCTAGAGATTTTCCTCTCCGGGACAAGATTGGAAAAGGCAGGTTGGAGAGACTGGTTCATCAAATATTTCTTCAGTGCTTTCTACATGCAAGACCCTGAGCTGGGTTTTACACACACTGTCACCAAGCGTCTGTCACAATGAAGGCACTGAATTTAAGACGCTTTGGGAGGCCAAGGTAGCTAGACCAGCCTGGGCAACATAGTGAGGCCCCGTCTGAAAAAAAGAATAAAAAGATTAGCTGGGCGTGGTGCTTGTATTCCCAGCTACTCGGGGGCTGAGGTGGGAGGATCAGCCCGGGAGGTCAAGGCAGCAGTGAGCCATGATCGCACCACTGCATGCCAGCCAGGGCAACAGAGTAAGGCCCTGACTCAAAAAAAAAAAAAAAAAAAATGAGCAGGCCTGTTGGACCACCCAGAACAATTCCAATTCGTCATTCATTCCAAGATTTGTGCAGCAAACGTATTGGGAGCCCACCAAGTGTAGGGTACTATTTTAGGCACTGGAGACAACCGAGAGCACAAAGTCCCTGCCCTGACAACGCAAGTCGAAGCGGCCGCCGCTGCTGGCTCTGATTCTCTGGCCCCAGCTCTGTGACTTGGACCAGTGCTGGCCTCCCAATCTAGAGATTTCCTCTCCGGACAAGATTGGGAAAAGGCAAGGTTGGAGAGATTGGTTCATCAAATATTTTTCAGTGCTTCTACATGCAAGACCCTGAGCTGGGTTTTACACACCTGTCACCAAGCGTCTGTCACAATGAAGGCACTGAATTTGAAGACACTTTGGGAGGGCCAAGGTAGCTAGACCAGCCTGGGCAACATAGTGAGCGCCGTCCCTGAAAAAAGAATAAAAAATTAGCTGGGCGTGGGTGCTTGTATTCCCAGCTAACTCGGGGGCTGAGGGGGAGGATCAGCCCGGGAGGTCAAGGCAGCAGTGAGCCATGATCGCACCACTGCATGCCAGCCAGGGCAACAGAGGTAAGGCCCTGGACTCAAAAAAAAAAAAAAAAGGC